ACCTGGAACCCAGCTGAATCTCTCGTTTGTGATGTTCTCAGGCAACTGAATGTGCTGCACCAGGCCGCCTCATGTTTCAGTCGCTACGATATTCGAGATATCGCGATACACGTATATTCGTAATGCACTACTCATAAGGTTGCCCCTGCCTGATGAGCCCCAAATGGGGCGCAACCGATCGTGGGCTATCGACGGATTTTCAACAACCTTATGAGTAGTACATTACACTAACATATTGTTTATAGGAAAAAATCAACCCCCTGCATACCGCAAAATACTCAATGGGGCTGCCTCAAGACATTCAATCATGCTGATTTGCCGAACGACGAAATGACCGACAACCCAAGACACACTCCGAAGGGACTGCATTCAGCAGTCAGCAGGATCCCTTTGAATCGTTCACATGAGATATGTCATGTTGCTGCAGTAGAAGCCACTAAACAACGGTCCAAACATGCGGGATCGCTGTTGCATTAAACTCAACCAGATATTACCTATCTTTGTCCAGTTTAAGAACTTTAATTCTTTTTGTTGTAGAAGCAATTGGTATTCGTACTTTTGGATCCGGGTTTTGTGCACATAAGCACTTTGTGTAGACTTGGAGTATCTCTGGGATAGACGATCACGCAGCAAATTCACGTGACCCACCAAGTTCATTCCACCGTTATCAGTCCTGACATTCAGTACTGACAATTGATTTTAGGCAGTTTGAGGTTAAATTGTTAATTTAATCAATTTCGTTTGCTATGCATGTAGCAATGAGCAACACGAAAAGATGTCAGAGGTTTCCTTCCCTTTTGTGGTGTTATTTTCAATTAACAACGGGGATATTTCAGAGCGTCCGTCCAGTTTGGCAATATTAGCATAAACGTCGAGGAGAAAATTTCAGTGAAACAGAATCAACCTCATTCATTTTTCATTCGCCTTCAAAAATTAATGTTCACTGAATAATGACCCAGTAAGTGCAAGAGGAACTGCCGAAAAATAAAAGGATTATGAATAGAAGTGACAATCGAATTTGGCAGCTCACTGAGACAGCTTCCAGAGAACTACCAATCATCTGCAACGAAATCTCCTTCATAATGGAAATGCCAAACTCGAACTAGGTTTTCATTTGTCAGTATCAAAGACAGAACATGCTTTTTTCTGATACATTCCACTAAGGAACAGAGATCACATGTAAAAGATCTTCACCACTAGTAATGGATAAAAATGGATAAAAAGTGTTGTGATATTAGTTTACGGTGGTTCAGTCTTAGTTATTTTGCAAGTGATTGGTAGTGTGAGATTTGGAGATTTCGCCCTTTGAGTGGAGCTAATCCATGGAAAAGTACCGAGAAGAACTGTAAAGATGTCTAATTCTTATTGGGAATCACCGGAAATGGTGTCTTACGAGACCGACAGAGATGCGAACCTGCGACCTCTCGACTAGGAGTCAAACATGACCATTCGTCCGCGAGCTGCCGAATAATTTGCACTCAGAAAAGATAAAGCGACACCCAGTCTTCAGCGACGGTATCTGCATCACGTGATGACATGTTGACTGGCTTGTTAAGCGACGACTTCATATGGCGGTTTCACTCGTCATGTGAATTTAACCTTCCTCCGAGCTACTTATGAGTTATTGGTAGCGTGGGGACACTTGGAAATTTTCACTGGAGGTATCGTCTTATAAATAGGGCTTGTCTATACTGGTT